CCTGCCCAGGGGGCAGAGTCTGGTCAGGAAAACGCCACTGCCGCCGGCCGCGGGGCGCGAGCAGCCCCCACCGGACTGGGGAGCGAACCCCGGGTCGTATTTCCAGGTATAACCACCGGTTAAATGTGTCATTTCGGGACGACCCCCCCCCCAGTCCGACGGGGTCTCCTGTGCGTGCGAACTTGGCTCCGCAGGCGCGGTCCTCCGAACGCAGGACCAGACACTGCACGTTTGCTTTGTTACTGGGATGGGATCCAGGGGGGCTTCGTCTCCCTAGGCTAGACTCCCGCACAGCCCTGGGCCAAGCGTGTGCTCCCAGCAGAGCCAGGATCTACCCAGGCGACCCAAGCGCTGGGCCAAAGCCGCTTTGTTAAAACAGGAAAATCTTCCTCGTTTTCTGTATACCTTTCTCATCCACGGGACGCTGCCTCTGGCTGCCAGGCTGCCGGAGCTGCTTCATTGTGGATCATCAGCATGTCGCTGATCCTGGTCTTCAGAGTGTTGCTAATCCTGCCGTGTACAAAGCAGAGATTGAGGGAGGCGCTCCATCACCCAAACCACCTACCAGCTAAGCCCAGGAAATCTGAGACGGCTGGTCAAAGACCAAGTGAGTGCCTGCATCAGCAGTTACATGGAGACTGGAGGTGGACGCAGTAGGTAAGATGTGTGTGTCAGCCCTGGGTCTCTTGTGAAAGGCAACTTGATCCTGGAGTAGCATTAGCCTCAACTTTTCTTGCATAGAATATGTGTGTGTGTGTGTGGGGGGGATCCATATGCCTTTACTGGAGCTTGAACTTAAGGCCTGGGCACTGTCTCAGGATTTTTTCCCCCCTTCAAGGCTATTATTATACCACTTGAGCCACAGCTCCACTTGGGCTTTTTGCTGGTCAATGGGAGACAGGAGTCTCATGGACTCTTTGTCCAGGCTGGCTTTGACCCATGATTCCCAGATATCAGCCTCCTGAGCAGTGAGGATTGCAGGTGTGAGCACCTGTGTCTGGTCCATGGTTTCTGTTAAAGCAGAACAAGTGCCAGAAAGCTCAGTTGTGGAGTCGCAAGGATGGGACGTGCAGGCCTAGGGAGGCCGGGGTGGAGCGCACGGGCTCAGAGGCTCCTGTCCCATTCCGGACGGGAGAAACGCGCCCGCTCTACCCTGTGAGGTGGGTCACCTGCCGCCGAGCGAAGCCGGCGAGGATGGTGTAGATCATCTCTACCAGGTGAACATCAGCCTTACTCAGCCAGTTGCCAACTAGGAAGTCTTGCCCATGGCTCTTGAACACCTGCAGGATTGGGGGATGAGACTGTGAACACACACACAGAGCCAGACTGGGGGCCCCGTTTCTCCCTGGGGCTCCCTATCCTATTTTTCCTCCTTAGCTACCTCTGGGCAGGTGTTGAGTGCAGGTCTTGCCTGACTCAGGACAGCGAGGAGCAGGCTCTTCTCCATTGAGCAGCCCTGTGGTATCCGCCTCTCCCACCCCATCTGCGCCTTCAGAACGGCTG